AAGCAAGGGAGCCACTGTGTGTTCTCCTGCTGGACTGGTGAAGATTCCCCACCCAGCATCCCAGAGGGAGGACCCAGGGAGAAGGGTGGAAGTGGGCCGTGGGCCACCACTCCATTTTCTTGATGGATAAACTCAATTTGGGGATTGCAAAGCAGGGTCTTTGGACACTGATCACACAAAGGGGAATTTTGCCTGCTTCTTTCAGAAGCACCTTGGGATCCCTAAGGTATTCTGATCCTGTGGCTCCAGGTTAAAACCTGAGTCTGTTTCTTCTTTCTTCTCCCCCTTTCTTCTTTCGAGAAGCATGCAGAGTCTCTAGAAGCCTTGGTATAAGACACATTTGGGTCCACAAATAGTTATGGATCCCTTCTTTGTGCAGGGCATCAGGCTTCCTGGCCTTGCCCAGGCCTCACACTCTTGGACCAGTCTACGGAAGCCTCCTGCTGATGGCCTCCTAGGCTGGAAAGGGCTCATTTGCTTAGGGAGTCCCTCATCTGAAGGTCAATGCTGCCATCTGCTGGTCATTGTTAGGCATGTCCTGCATTCTCCCAGTCCCTGGTGGAAATAGAAGCCCCATGTAGGGAAGCCTGGTGTGACCCCTCTCTCTCTCTTGTTGGGCCTTTGAAATGCCCTGTTCTGAGAAGGAGTGTCCCCTGATCATATGCTTCTTTTAATGCCTCTCATTTTAATTGGGTTTCCCGTCAACAATCAAAGGCAAATCTTCCTCACTTACCACCTTACTTCAAATTTAGTTCAATTTAGCATGTGAAACACCTGATAGGAGTGAAAAAGCAGAGGGCAAGGATACAAGGCCACGCTCCTGCACAAAGCAGGGAGAGGGATTCGTGATTATAGATGATTTACACCTCATGTGAGGTCTGAGCTGAGTCCTTACAGATGAGTCAGAGTCAGCCAGGGGAATCATGGGAAAGAAGATTCCAGACAAAAGGCCTAGGAAGTTGAGCTATTCTGGCTGTTTGAGTATAATTGCTTTTTTTAAAATAAAATTTTTAGTTGTAAATGGACACAATATTTTTTTATTTTTTTATTTTTACGTGGTGCTGAGAATCGAACCCAGTGCCTCACACGTGCAAGGCAAGCGCTCTCCCATTGAGTTACAGCCCCAGCCCCTCATTGCTTTAAATTTAACCCATGTTTTTGCTGCCCTCTCCACACCACCAAGTGGTGGAATACGAACATTCCTCCCTGGTTTCTAGGTGGGCTTGAAGATAAAGAGAAAGGGGAAATTATTATCAGCTGATAATAATTAGGCTTTAAATTTTAGGGATCTTCTAGGTCCATTGCAAAAGGGTTTCAGGGAAGGAGCAGCATGGCCCGAGGAAGCAAGAGGCAGAGAAAGCTTCTCCTGCTGGTAGAGAGTTCTCCAGACCAGCATCAGGAGACGGTTCTGAGCCACCTCCCATGATGGTCCCTGAACCATTCCAGAGAAGGATCCGGACCCCAGAGAGAAGTGGTTTCATAGTGCCTGGACCCTCTGGACATCCAGCCAGGTTCCAAGGATGGCAGAGGGACTTATTAGTCTCGACCTGGGGAGAGCCCAGATGACCCCCTGCTAACCCATGTGGACAAATGCCCAATGACAAGATCTCTTGGCCCTATGAAGGATTCAAATGCAAGGCCAAGTCATGATGAGAAAATAAAGGAACTCGCTGTTCTTGCGCACTAGGCTTTATGGCAGATTCTTATAGGTCACAGATATCAAGAAGGTCAAGGCAACAAGGCCTCTATTCTTGAAAAAGTTACAAGGAGGCCAGTAAGGTCCTGAGGGATTTGGGGTGAATCACTTGCCTTCTGGGCTTCAGTTTAATCTCTGGGGTCAGAACAAGGAAGGTGAGCTAAAGAATCTTTAAGAGTCTATGGGAATAAACTAACGAGCTGCAAGAGATCAGGGAGAGATAGGCCCGGGCCTATTGGAGTGAGCAGAAAAGTCTTCATGGCTGAGATTTTGAAATGTGGAAAGAGGGAAGGGATGAGGAAGACAGAGGATTTTAGGTGGTGAGAAGAGTGTGTAAAAGGGGCTCATGTGGGCATGTGCAAGGTGTGCCTGGACCACACAGCAGATCTGCTCTTGCAGGCTCCAGGCCTTCTCCCAGGACCAAGGCAGGGGTGGTGGGAGCCAGAGCTCCACTCCCTGGAGAATGGGGAAAGGCAGAGCTCACAGTGAAGGAAATAGGAAAGGTCGCCCCTGGGATCAATATTGTATTTCCAGAAAATTTTATCTTGAGCCAAATGCTCCCCAAAGTCCCTCCTGACTGTCTCCAGAGGCACTGGCATTTCCACCACCGAGTGGCAGAGACACACAATGTGTGACCAGTGTGTTGTCACAGTGTGTGTTTATGCCAGGAGAAAGGCACAGGAAGGGACCCAAAGCTACCTGCTGATTGTGGCCTGCAAAGTACTGGACACAGATGATTACTAAGATCTTTTCTGGCCAGGCCAGCAGAAGCCCAGAAGGCAGTCGGCCTTCTGCAACCCACCCTCACAGAGCTCTTCCCCAGAGGCCCTGGGCCTGGTCAGGAGCAAGTGTCCCATAAGTGAAGCACTCTGGCCAATGGTGTGTCGTATGTGAAACAGGCCTCACACTCACACCATTGGAACGAATAATCTTCCTCTGACGACTTAAGAGGCACCAGATTTAGAGGTGGAACAATCACTGGTTTAGAATGTGGGCTCTAGAGTGAGACGACCTGGGTTTCAAACTTTGCTCCAACATTTATTAGCTTTGTGACAAAGGGCAATTTCTTAACTTGTCTGTGCTTCAGTTTCCTCTTGCATAAAACTGTGATGAAACAACTACCTCCCTGTGATGTAACGTGGGCCTTGCACCTGGTAAGCCCTTATAAATGGAAGCAATGGTTGCCTTCCAAGACCTCAGGACATTATTCTCTGGTGTGAAATCAGAGAGAGGAATATGAAATCTTATTGGGAAAGTTTGCATTGATTCCAGTTAATTCTTTCTTTTTATTTGACTGTTTGGCATGAGAATTGAATGGAGAAGGTGTACCAATCTCAAGGCTGGTTAATGAAACTATCTGGTTGGTGGGTGGGAAGCCAATAGTCCATTGTGTTCTGTAGCCGTGGTGGTTCTGGGATCCTGCAAGAGCATCCACCCAGAAGGTTGTGGTCATCTGGAGCCAAACATCCGATGGAGGTTAAGTTTGATAATATTCTGCCTCTGTTCATAATTCCCAGCATTCTTCAGCTATATACCTTCTAAAGATGAAAGTTCATCCTTCAATGACCCCCAGAGTCCCCAGGACAGAGCCACAGTCCTTGTGTGTCCCACTGTTCCTGCCTCAGTAGGAACATTGACCCTGGTCAATGCTGCACCCTGTTGTACCCCAGCCCCCCAGAAGGACTCGCAGCTCCCACCTCCCCTCAGCAGCCGCCCACCTCTCCTGACTGACTCCTGCTCATCCCTGAGGCCTGCATTTAGCGATTTTCTGAATCTCCCCCTCCACCAGCGTGGCTGAGGTAAGAGTGTCTCCTGCGAGCTCCCACCTGCTCTGTTTATCCTGTCGTGGCCTGTAGCACATCCCAAACCACCTGCCTGTCTCTTTGTCTGCTCTACCAGACCGTGAACTGCTTGTGAGCGGAAGATGTGAATGTGTTGCTATGGCTTCCACGGCGCTGAGCACAGCACCCTGGAGTAAGGAGGGTATTTAACAAGGTGTCTTGGAGGAAACGACTCCACATGAGACAGAAAGGTGTCTTTCTCATCTCTCCCAGCTCTTTCAGACCATCCTCCTCTTCTTTAGCACTGCCCAGTTTTGAATATCAACCCATCAGCTTCAGCATCCGCCATCTCTCAGGGCAGTCTCCCAGAAATACCACCTCACTTCCCCTCATTCTCCCCGTGGATCACAGCACCTGGCTTGCAGCATGCAAGCATTTTCCAGAAGCTCCCAGCCCATGGCGCCATTGGGAAGCCATGGAACCTTCCAGAGGTGGGATCCAGTGGGGTCAAGTTAGGTCACTGTGGCCTTGTGGCATTGCTATTGAAGGGGATATTTACTACAGTGACACGGTATTGACTAACACCATTCTGGCCAAGCCCACCTTGTCACCAGGCTTGGCACTGAAGCCCCACGTAGCTGGCTTCTCATCTCCCTGAGTGCCGAGCTTCTCTCTTCCAAAGAGCTCATCCTCCACTCTCTCAAATACTCAAATGACCAAAATCTAGAGCCTGCCTTCCTTAACAGCTGTGTCTCTTCCATAATCTCAATTTTGGGCATGGTCCTCTCTGACAAGCACCTCCCAACTCCCTGCCTGCTGCCTCTGAGTTCCACCACCACCACTCCTTCGACATGGTGGGGTCCCTGACCTTTGAACTTGTTCTGCTCCCTTTGTGTTCTCTCTCCCCACGAGACTGGGCTGACATTTCCTGGATTATCACTTTAATCACCTCTTTTTCATATACCCTCATTTTCACCAATGTTCTGTAGCTTCCTGGCATTTGTTTGACAAAACTCTAAGCCACAGTTAATCTGGCCTGAGCCTCCTCCATGCTTGCACCCACACAGCGGACCATGGCAGGAGGGAAGCACAGGCTCTTTCTGGCTGGTCTAACTTTAACTCAGGACTATTCACCTCCAGTGGACCTTTCATGCTGATTGGTAGTTATGGGTTCATTCACTCTCCCACATGGACATTTCATAACTTTTTTTCTCTTCAGACTTCCCACACCTCCTCCCACACCCTCCATCTCAGTTGATGACCTTGGTCAGCCCTAGAAGGAGAACTTCCTTCTGCTCACCCTGCCCTTCTACCCACACACCTGCATCTAAGATCTTATATCTTCCTCCCATCACTGTGGGTGGACAGCCTGCTGCTCTGAACCTGGATCTTATGCTTTCTTACTTCCTCAAAGATACCCTCTCATTTCTCTTTCCCCCTTCATAGTAAAACTCCTTGGAGGATCTGTTTACACCCATTGACTATTCCTCTCCTCTCTTAATTAAGTCTGCTCTAATCAGGCTTTAATCCCAGGTGGCTGAATCAAATGGTCTATTCTCAATCTTCATTAACATAAACTCTCAGCAGTATTGGACATAATGGACCACTTCCTTCTCTTTGAACTGTTTCCTTCCCTTGATCTCCAGAAAATCACATCCTTTTGAGTTCCTTTTGAATCCTTTGTTCACTTTTCCTCACCTCTCTGGGCATTTCTCACCTCCCCCTCTGAATTGATCCAAATCTCAGCCCTTGACCCACTTCTCTTTGCTGAATATCTTCCTTTGGTGACTCATAATCCTGCGGCTTTAGAGCACTCCATCTACTGATCACTTACATTTTACTTTCCACTACACCTCCTTCTTGAAATCCAGACGCCTGTATCCACTCTAATGCCTGCATCCTGTTCAGTGTTTCTGAGTGGAAACATGGTTCACACCAAACAAATCTGCCCCTATTAGCTCCTGATGGCTGGAATTTGTGTTTTGTTTCTAATAAAACTCTAAAGCCTAAAACAGCCATTGGTACACAGTAGGTGCTGAGCAAACATTTGTTAAATTCAGGACTTGATGCCTCCCTCTATTCCAGACCCTCTGAATGAATGGTCCCCATTTCACTCCAGATGAAGCTTATCCTTACATAATCTTCAAAGTCATGCATAATCACGCCCCTTCTCTGACTGCCTTTCCTGGTGTCCTTCCTAAGCTATGCTGGCTTCTTTGTTGTCCCTCAAGTATTCCAGGTAGGATCTGAACTCAGGGCCTTTGCATTTCTTCCTATTCTTCCAGGAAGAGCTCTCCCTCAGTCCCTGAAAGTGATATGGCTCATTCCTTTCACTTTCAGGTGTTTGCTGAAACTCACCTGGAAACCCTTCCTGATCACCCTCTGCCTGCTCCCCACCCTGTCCTCTCCAAGGTCCCATCCCTGTTTCATTCTTCTCCATAGCAGTGCACAGACTTCATCACCATCTAAAGGACCCTTCAGTCTGTCTTTTGAGAGCTCTATGTAAGCACAGTATTTTTTATCTTTCTTTATCTTCTCCTTCCTTCCTTTTAAAAAATTTCCCTGCTATATCCCCAGGCTCTAGAGCAGTGTTTTGCTCACAGCAGGTGCTTGCTACACATTTGATGAACAAAGTCCTGACTTACACGAAGATCACTGTGGTTGCTGTGTGAAGATTACATTATAGGGGAGCAAAATGCAAACAGGGAGACAAACAGGATGTGCTGATCCATGAGACAGGAGTGCTAAGAAAAATCAGGGTAAAAAGGATAACTCCTAGGGTTTTGAACCAGCTCCATGGTTGATGGTGACATCTATTGAGATGGCAATGGCTGGCGGAAGAAGAGGTTTAGAGAACTCTGAGTGGTTAAGTTTTAAGCACGAGCAAAGATTGGCAATTGAATATAGAAATCTAGAATTCAGAGATGGGTTTTAGAATACAGATGGAATTTAAGCTTATGACCATGAATGAATGAAATCATCTACAGAGAGTGTAGAGAGAACAGAGAGTAGAGGGTGAGAAGAAAGATAAAGCAAATGAGAAAAGAGGAGGAAGAAGAGAAGAAAAGGAGAGGAAAACAGAGCTTAGAGTAAAATTCTGAAGAATGCTGATATTTAGGGAGAAGAAGGCTGGGAGAGAGAAATGGGGAGAGCATGGTGTCATATAAAGAAGGCAAGAAAGGGAATGGTTCTGAGAAGGAGCCTGGAGCCACCCTTGCTGACTAGGCTGAGAGTTTGAGCCAGGGCCAGCAAAAGGTACCTTCTGCCGTTTTTCAGATGGAGATCATTTCCAGTTTCAGTTAAGGGGACTGTGGATGCCCGAGGATGGCCGACTTAAAGAGTAGATGGGATGAGAAAGTGAAGAGGGCATGGGTTGAGAAGGGTTTCCAGAAGTTGGGCAAGGAGGGGAAGAAGCAGGAAGAAAGGAAAGGTCCCTGTTACATTCGGCAGCACGTCCCACCAGCAGCGTCTCGGGCCAGGCTGAGATATGAGATAAGAACTGTCGGTGCCACTCCTGGGTGCAGAGGTCATGGAGCTGCGCTGCTGCATTCCCCTCCAAGGCAGCACTAGCTGTGCTGTGCAGGGATGTGGTCAGCAGACACCCTCTGACTATCGGCTCCTTCAAAATTTGCCTCAGCTGCTCAGAGGCCAGGATCATGCCCTTCCCTGGCTCCTGCATCTAGTGACGGGACCTCTTAAATCCATGCTAGATACTCTAACAGGAAGGCATGTTCCAAAGTTACCTTCCAGGTGGGTCTCATCTTCCTCTGCTCCATCCTCCTGACCCCCCTTTCCTTTAGAGATGTTAGTCTCCAAGAAATGTCTCATACCCCAAACTCTGTTTCAGGTGCTGCTTCCTATAAATTTATCCAGAAGTCCAGCCGCCCAAATACAGCATGGGTGAGATATGATGCCATGATTTCTGTGTCAGGTTCTTATGACACTAGCAAGGCCAATGCATACTGCTAGTCCAAGAGAGAGGACTAGAAAAGGAAAGGTGTTTCCTGCTTGTAATGGTTAGACAGGTGCACCAAGAACACTGCATTCAGTTGGGAGCCACGTTTGAGGAGACCTACAAATGTCATCAAATATTGACTTCAGTAGAGGGTTCAGAGATAGCAATGGGACTCCAGTTGTTTTCCGTTTTTTTCACCTGCAGGTCTCCATGTTTTCTATGCCTCTAGATCAAAATCCTGTAACAACAAGTTCTTGCACAGTGCCATGAGATGACAGAATGCACATCTGCATAATGCATGCAGCAGTTCTGTGAGCTATGTACCATCATCACCCCACTGCGCAGACGGGCTATGAGAAGTTAAGGCATTTCTTCAAGGTCTTACAACCAGCCAGTGACAGAGCAGGGATTAGCATGCAAGCCTTCCTGACTCCACAGCTTGCTCCTGAGTGCTTTTCCAAAGCTTGGGGGTTTCTTCACCTTTTAAGAGGAAGAGTAGGTGGGTGGAGCAAGCCACCTAAGAAGCCAGTGCATGCCTGGAAACATGCAGCTGCAGAGGCTTGGGAAACCCCCACATCCACTGAAGGTACCAAGACAGTGTCATTGGGACCAAATGAAGCTACAGTTGGGTCTTAACTAAGGAGCAACCTTTAAGGTGGAAGATCGCTTAATAGGAGAATAGGCTGCCTGGGTCTAGGGAAAGAGACTTCCCTGAACAAGAACTCAGGTCTGTCTCCCAAATTGCCCTGTGATGGTAAGTAAGAATAAGCATGCACCCTGGAGTCACACAGGTGCTGAGCCCCTGTACAGGTGCATCCTTGAGATGGAGACAGGCCAGGGGGCAGGCATTATGACAGCATTCCCAGCTCCCTCCCTTTCTCTGATTTAGTGCTTTTGGGCCTCTGATTTAGTTTCCCTTGCACCTTGCTGAGCATGAAGGCAGCCCACGAGTTTGCAGGAGAGTTCTGGGCTCCTCAGTGATCCCGTTTCTCCTGATAAAGAAGGACTGCAGGTCTCTGTGCCCAGGGTCTCTGCCATCGCTTATTGTCCCTCCTCTCCTGAAGGAAGAGAGAGAGAGAGAGAGAGAGAGAGAGAGAGAGAGAGAGAGAGAAGAGCCTAAAAGAGACAATTCTAGGTTCTTCACAGCAGTCCTACCTGCAGCCATCAACCTCCGCCCCTCCTCCACTGGCTGGAGCACCTGGGATAGGAAGATGGAGTTTCTGTCTCTGTGTGAATGCACTTGCACCCCATGGGGCCCAGCCATTTCCAGACTCTTGACACTTTTTATTCTATATGCAAGATTTTGTTTATATATGCACAAGAATGTAATTTGTTTCTTTGTCATTTTCAAATGTGATGGCATAAAACCATGCAGAATGCTTTTATATTTTTATACCTTACTTATAATACTGTTTGTGTCTTTATACCCACCCCACTCCCACTCCCTGTTAGATCTGCCAGAGGTTTTCATGGTCTTTCCAAAGCATAGACGTGCTCACTGGACCAGGCCCCCCGTTCAACCCTGGCCAGGAGAATCCATGCATTCAGAGGAATTCTGCATTCCAGCAGCCCCACTGGGAATTTCTTTCAAGAAACCTGGCTTCACACCCCTGGCCAGAGCATTATGAAGAGAGGCCCTCTCCAGCTCTCTTCAGTGCAGCAGTTGAAGAGGAAAGGGGAGGTGTATTTTTTTGGAACCTCAACAGCCTTCCTCCTCTCCTGTGAATCACCTCTGTGTTCAGGCAGCCGAGACAGCTGCACGGAAAGGCGTGTGTGTGTGTGTGTGTGTGTGTGTGTGTGTGTGTGATGGGGGCCTTGGAAAGAAAAGGCCCCTTGTACCCTGGCCAGCACCTGGCGATGGTGTGACCTGGGAGAACAAGGGAGCCAGGAGCTCCACAGCAGCTCCACAGAAGCCAGAATTACAGCGGCAATGTTCGTGTGAGCCACAGGGGGAGCCCGAGAGCCGGGAGTCAGCAGCGCCTCGAGCAAAGTGAGCCAGGACTAGGGAAGGAATCCTGATGGGGCGAGGCTCCGGCTCTCCTCTTCTTTGCTTGGCAAACTCAAACTCATCCTTCAAGGCCAATTCAAGAGCTATATCTCTGGAGAAGACTTTGCAAAAGCCCAGCCAAAGCCTTTTTCTCATGCTTCTGGCTGACTGACAGCATTGCCTGCCCAGGGCAGAACTGTCTGCAGATGGCTCCAAATTCTCCAGCACACTGTGAAGCCCTATGAAGCAAGACATGGCCTGGATCCTCTCTGTCCCAGCAGTTCAGGGTCTGGCTTCTCCTTGGTGTACCTAGGATTCATGCTTCAGAGTCATTCAGGGAGTTGTTAAAATGCAGATTCTAGGCTCACCTGGACCTAAAGAGTCTGCGAGTGTGGCTCTGAAATCTTCATCTTTAACAGGTCCAGGTTACACTTTATGCACATCAGGGTTGATATAAAACACAGTGCTTTTCAAATGTTTTTGAACAAGAATCAAAGCGATCCAGAATATGAAATATAGTTTTCATTATAACCCCCCACATATTGTATATATATAAAACTAGAACAAAAATACAGAAAACAAAAAAATTGCTAGGATACGTGTGAGATACTTTGATATACTCTTTTCTACTATAAAAAACAATGTTGGTTGTCATCACTAAAAGTTATTCCCTGACCTGTTTGTAGGTTATTTCTTACTGTTTGAAATCATTGATATAACAAAGCTCAACAAATGTTCAATGAATGAATAAATGAATGATGGAACAAATAAATAGATACTTGTATCTCAACCTCTGTAAAACAGAGAGATTCTATCAAACAATTTCTGAGATCTCCTCATTTAAAGTTCTGAGGTCTGATGCTCTTTAAATTTTTTAATTTCTAACAATTTCATCATGCCCCAGGGCTGTGGTAATCCTCAGTGAAAGAGATTGCCAAGGAGAACCCTCAGTTTAAGGGGTTCCCACTGATGCAAGAGTTCAGATGGCTTTGTTTTGATTTTCTCATTAATTAAAATCATGTAATATCTTCCCTTCTAACCTCCTCAGAACTTCCATCCCTGAGCCTGGAAAGATCAGCAAATACAGAAGCTAAAGTAAATTATAGGAGACTTTGAAAAGGCCTTTCTTTTGGTGTTCTTTCTTCATTTTCAACAAAGTACTAAGCTCAAGGAGAAATGTGGAGGAGCAAAGCCCAAAGTCTATGTGACCTGGAAAGATATGCTTTCCCTGGGCCAAGGACATGTGCTGCTATGCTCACAGAGAAGGTAAGCCTTCAGCCTTTTGTGCCCTGAGGGTTCTATTAACTTCAGAGGTGCCCACCCACTCTTTGCAGTTCCTCCTCCCATAGCAGGGGCAAGTGGCTGTAGTGGTCATCTGAGCAGGCCATTACAGTATGGTATGTGTCTTGAGAAGCTTGTAGAGGGCTGGTCTTGGAGCTCACCCAAGGGGTTCCATTGGGACCTGCTTAGAGCTCATTCATTATGTGTGGTCTTGGACTAGCTTTAGGAGAAAGTTTCATGGGAGACCAGAGGTGGTGTTCTCTCCTGCTTTGACTAGAGGTAGAGATGAGCCTCCAACCTGAACTATATTGTTATAGTTAGTTCATATATTAGTTCATATTGATTGCATATTCCTTGGACTCCACAAAATACTTCATGAAATCCCCCAAACTCTGAAGTAGATGCTATTACTAACCATAATTTACAGATAAAGAAACTAAGGCATAAAGGCATTAAGGATCTCACTTGCTGTCACATAGCAAGTAGCAGAAATTGACTTATTCCGGTAGCCTGATAGGCACATTCAGTCACATTGCTGTGTAGCCATCAACAGGGGCAGGTGGTGTGAACTTGGGAAGGGGGAGGGCTTCCATCTGGCACTGTGCTGCAGGAGGAGTCATGGCACATCCTATCATCCTGTCTAGAGCATAAATCTACCATCTCTGCCATTTATCGCCATATATGCTGAGCGTAGCACACTATGAAGGACCAGGTTTATTAGATCACTGCTCCGGGAGCATTGCTAGTCTTCCCCAGAAGTGCTGTTTGGCCAATCTCTAAATGAGAATGTTTGGGGCAAGGAAGTCAGAACCAGAGCCTGGTGCATGATACTCTATTGGAAGCAGATTAGGCTTGGTGATGCACACCTATAATCCCGGTGGCTTGGGAGGCTGAGGCAGGAGGATTGTGAGTTCAATGCCAGCCTCAGCAACTTAGCAAGGTGCCGCAGTCTGGCTGGACACAAAATCACGAGCCACCACACACCTTGTAGATTCAAACAGCAATTCTTTATTCTCAAACTGTCACTGGCACTTACACACACGTTCTGGGGGAATTCACGTTCTGAATCCCGTGAGAACTCAATGGGAACTCAAGGAGCGGGTGAGCCTGAGGCAGCAGGATACGCCCTATTCCCAGCAGGGTCCACCTTAAACCTGGAACCGCCCTAAGCCCGGATTGTCCTAAACCGGGAACGCCCTAAACCCCCGATCCGCCCTAAACCCGGATCCACCCTGGTCCTTGAGCAAGGTCACCTTACATGCAATGACACTGCAAATGACCTGGGTCATGCCATGCGTCATTCTTACTTAGCAATGGCCCTCAGCAGCAAGGCCCTATGCAACTCAGTGAGACCCTGTCTCTAAATAAAATATGAAAAAGGGCTGGGGATGTGTCTCAGCGGTTCAGCACCCCTGGGTTCATTCCCTAGTACCAAATAAATAAATAACCTATTGGAAGCGGAGTAGCTAAGGGCCAGTATTATGGAGAAGCAGGGATGAGGCAAAGGCATCAGATAGCTCCTACCAGCTCTAGGACGAAAATTAGGGTTATGTTTCACTTAAAAATCATTATAGTGCTAACACTCAGCTAAACACTTTAAATACATGGTTTCAGGTTATTTTCACAACAACCCTGCCATTATTCCCATTTTACAGTTGTGTGGTGTGGGGTGGGGGGGATGGGGGGTGGTCCTATTCTCAGAGAAGTTAATTGACCAAGGCCAAGATTAAGCAGAATTGGGATTTAAAGCTGAGTGTGTCTTACTAAAAATTGTGAGTCCTGTTTCACCTACAATTTGGTTTTCTGCACATATATTCTTACTCAACAATGTTTAATGCCTAAGAGAAGAACAGTATTTAGAGTCTCTACCATGCATGAGCCGGTTTAAGTGGCTCTAGGAATCTTCTTTAAGGAGGATGAAGGGCCAAGGCAGAACTAGATGGTATGGTTCCTCACCAGCTGTCCCCAGTATTTGAAAGCAGCTTAACCAGGGCCCTGTGCTGACACCTGACCACAGAATCTGAGGAAGAACTGCAGGGAATGGGGCCTGGGTGTCACGAGCAGCTTCTCAGCCTTGTCTGGTTACCAGGAGTTCCCTTCCGGATATCTGCACTGGACCCCGGACCGCGACGTACGCGAACACCAAGCACGAACTCGATTGCCTTTTGAAATGCTGGTTTATTCGCACACCACACAAAGCAATACACGAGGTGGCTGGCTCACACTGCACGATCTTACTCTCAGGCGATGAGAGTTGATTGTGAGCAAATACATGGAGTTTCCCTCGCGCTTATATACTCTATATGTTTACAACAAACTTGTTTATGTCTAACTTATCTAACATAAGCACACTACCTAGTTACATCATCAACTTATCTAACATGGGCATACTATCTAGTCATCCTATAACCAAAAACATGTTTACAACTAAAAAGTCACTTAGTCACTGCAAAGTCCAAAACAAGTCCAAAACAAGTCCTTTTGCTGATTCATGTTGTTTATTCATCCTTGATGTTTACTCCTGTCATTCCACCCCCTTGATACGGAGGCGCCGATGGTACTGATGGTGCCGATGTATCAAAGCGACAAGTACGGTCCCCTGTCTTAGGTCGTCCATTCGGAAGTTGCCCGTCCTCGGGGAAACGTATGGGCTGTCGCGGCCCTCCAAACCAATCTTCAGATTGGAAGATGCAATCCACGGCATCCATGCAGCCACCGACCACACAGGAGTGCAGAAAAGGCTGAAGCATAGCACGAAACTCACAGCAGAAGGGAGCTTTCACTCTTGGAACGAAAAGTTGTTTCAATCGTAAATAAATGTCCAAATCCAAATCCTTTACTAGATCCAAATCTATCACCAAATTGTGAACTATCATAAATGGATAATTAACATCTTTTTCAGAGAACATCGGAATTGGAGTCATCCGGTCCTTCCTGAATAATAGGTCGTTCCTCAGCTTGCGTCCTAATATCCGTTTGATGATTATCTGGTCCACAGACATAGTTCCTCAAGAAATTCTATAATATTAACCAATCTTAGGTAAGTGTTGATGATAATCCACATAAGTCCATAATTTAATAAAGTAAGGCTTACAAATGTTTCTTAAACATATGTCAAATAAAGATCTAGGAACATATGTATTCTTTTGTCTGCATTGCGAATTGATTCTACATAATACATTATCACCAAATAATAATGATCTATTATAGTTAAGTGAAATAAGTCCATTAACATAAAAAGTACCTGCATTAGAGTGTAAGGTTAATAAATCATGATCAGACTTCATCACTTCAGTGAACAATCCAAATAAAGTCTTAACACACAAATGTATATTATATCTACAATAAACATCACAATGCAAATTATTATCAGAAATACAATTCCAAACATGATTCAAAAACACACACAAAGAGGGCACTTGGCCTTCCAAGGTCCTATCCAGTGGACACCATGGTCCACTGCGTAAGGTTACTAGTCTACATAAAAGAGAAAAACGTTCCTGCCCAAACAGTGTATATGCACTATATAAAAACCATGTATTTACATGAAATTCGATGCAAAGATGACAATTTGCATAGTGCAACTGTTCAGAATAATTCCTCGATCTTTCCGTCCTTCTCCTTCTTGGATTTGATGTTCTTAGTGCCTTTCGTTTCATGGTCCCTGTAATGTTGAAGTTTATCCAATTTAATGTAAGTTTTCTTTCCTGCAGACTTATTAATCTTTAAACAAACCTTAATACATAATACAAATAATACAAAACAACATACATATAGCAATCCTTCCTTAAGCCAATGGAAAGGGTTCCATCTCATAATGCAACTAACATCTGCATGAACCAATTTTCTAAAGAAACCTACAAAACTACAATCATAAGTATACTGAAAGTCACGCGGAATCAAGTATCCGGAATCAACCAACATTTTAACTTTATGAGTTTCTCCTGAGAATCTTTGGAGAAGTTCAGTAGTTTGATTATGTACTGTCTCAATTTCCTTTCCCAATGAAGCATAAATGGACTTAGCTGCCTCCGTCGCCTTCATCATATGTTTATATTCTTCCGACAGAGGTGGCTGGGGCACAAAAGTATGTAACCCAAAAGTATGATTAGACAAATAAACCACCTGAGTCAGGACTCGTACATTTCTCGTGTTAGTAAAATTCAAACTCCTAAACAGATGTTTCTGAACGGTCAAATTCATATGTTCCATCATCATGACATTAGTATGTATATGGCAACCAGCATTCAGACTCAAAGAATCACTATAAGAAATGTTTTGCCATCGTTGAACCATGTACGGTTCAGGATAACAAGACAACATATTAAAATTCCCAAGATCTAACAAAGTAGCCTGAGGCATAGATATAGTTATATCAGAAGTCCTAGGTTCATCTGAGAAAAGATCATATGCTATAATAGTTGTTTTACCTATAGCATAAGTGGCTTCACTAGGCACATAATATGACATATTGTTCCATTTTAACCAATAAAACTTATCAAATGGTATTATCCAATCTTTACCAATTTTCTTCGGTATAGCCTTAGTTGGATATCCTATTACAACCTTAGATGTCGACATTTGCCATAAATTAATCATGCAGACACCAGTTTCACACCAAGAATCCTTTGTAGGATCTAATATGGTTATAGCTGATGCAGTTTCCATGCCTATGCCAGTTCTAAATAACAGTCTTATTTCTTCTAATCCCGCGGTGATCATTGCCTGTAGATGTTCACACTCCTGAGTTGCCTCCAATTGTTTCATACGTACATTCCATGATGCATCCATGGTCTCAATCACCTTACTTAATGAATCAACATGATGTTTCAAAAGTTCCTGTTCTGCAGAAAGTCTTTCCATAAGTAAAGATGCGGAGTGCAGATTTTTAGATAATTGTGAGATAACAAAGTTCTGTTTATTCTGAAGTCCTCGCAGAGCTGAAATTTCCACTCGAAGTTCCTCCGTCATTGCTCCAGCGATTG